GGTCTACATAGAATAATTAGGTTTCCCAGGAAAACCAGGGCTACATAGACCTCAAAAACAAAACAGACAAACAAACAAACAAACAAACAAAAAAGTACATAAGGAATACATAGTAGCAGGGGTTAGGAAGCTATGGGCATTAACTTTACTTTTTGCCTTGGTAGAAGGTTATAACATAAGAGTCATACATGATCCTGCTTAGAGTTCATTTTCTTTTGAGGGATATTTCCAGAAAAATAATGATAAATAGGTGGATGGATTGAAGGAGGTGGAGATCTCTCTTATGCTAATAAAGATAGTAAAGGACTTGGAGATAATAAAGGACTGAGGCTTAAAACAGGCTTGACTTGGGTGCCATCAGCATGAACCAGCAAGGCCTCAGCATCTCTAAGACTATTTCTCAGTTTAGACAAAGTTGGACCTTTTCTGTTTCATATCCCTCTTAGAGACTGAATGTAATTTGTAAAGCTCTCCAGTCATTTTCTGGTATTAGTGTAGTGTTTGTAGTACTCAAGACTCTTCGATTAGCTGTCTTACTATTAGTTCCTATTGTAAAGTGTTAGCAGTTGTGACATGGGATAGGTTTAATAGAAAAAAAAAATGGATTTAGGAGACAGCGTAGAATCGGACACAGGCTGTGGTCTCACAGGGATTGTGGGTTAGCTGGCTGGGAAAGAAGTGCATCTTAGCTGTGACACAAAGAAATCCCTGTGTTGTTTCAGGAAACATGTCATTGGAGTCTTAAAAGGGCACTACTGTAAGATAACGTAAATCGCCTAAAAATATGTTCAGAAAAGAGCAACAATTAAATATGTAGTAAGCTGGGTGCAGTTGCTCACGCCTGTAATCTCAGCACTCAGGGAGGCAGAGGCAGGGGGATCTCTGCGAGTTCGAGGTCAGCGTGGTATGCAGGGTGAGTCAAGGACAGCCAAGGCTACACAGAGAAATCCTGTCTCAAAAAACAAAAATAAACAGACAACAACAACAACAAAAAGAACCAAAACGATGGGCATTGTAGAAGGCAATAGGAGAATGCAACTTGAGCTAATGGATTCCTAACGGGAGAAGTTTTTTCAACTTCAAAAGATATTTCTATGTTTATTTCTCTTCTGTATGTTGTTCTCTCTAGTTACAAGTGTTAAAAATACATTTTAGCCTAGTGTGGAGGCTGAGGCAGGAGGTTTGAAGCCTGGCTGGCCTTGAATCTGTGGCAGTCCTCTCTCAGCTTTTGGAGCACTAGGATAATTGGCTTGTGCCATGTCATAGTTTAAAGTTGGTGTTTGAGTGGTATGTGGAATGATTGTCTGGCCAGGTGTGGTAGTGAGCACATGTAATAGTGGTCCTTGGGAGGTAGAGGCAAGAGGTTCAAGAATTAATAGTCATTCTTGACTACCTAGAGAGGTTGAGCCTGGGCTGCAAGAGGGGGGAAATATATATAATATATACATGTATAATATGTATACATATGTGTGTACTGCAAAATACACAGTTGTCACTACAGCCATAGCCCCTTGGGATGGGAAGCAGCTTTGTTCTTCTCATCTTAATTCAATATGAGGTTCTGTTGTGGTTTTTGTAGATGTTGTTGTAGCTGACCCATTTTGTTGTGGTTATTCCTGCTCACTGCCTTCATGTTGAAGAGCCAGTGTTGGGTGGCTTTTGTTTTTTTTTTTTTTTTTTTTTTTCTTGGAGAGATGTTTTACCTCAGATAGGACACTAACAACAGACCAAAGAAATGATCCTACTCAAGTCTAGTTGGTGAGCCAGGGAGTTTGAGGGTTACTTAGTAGGTACCTGGGTGACTGGTAGGCAGTTGTGTCATGGGACATTCCAGCCTCAGATGGATGACCGCTCACAGTCTTCATCCTTGGTGCTCTCTAACAGTTTCTCCTGGTTCACTGTTATCTAACCTCTGAAGTGCCAGTTAAGTCCTGTACTCCAAGCTTCCCTCCTCCTCCAAGAGAGACCAGCTCCACAGCGGCCAGGCCTCGGGATGGCTCCGAGCTTTTCCTCTGCCAGGTGTGCATCATCCTCCCCATGTGCGTACAAGTGTCAGAACTCTGTGCAGAACAAGGAAAACTTCAGGGTCTGCTCACACTTTCTATGCTAGTGAAGCTGTAGAAATGTGTTAGTCCAAAAAATACCCACTTATCCCTGGCTTAAACTTTTATGTCACCGTTATTTACTAGGAAGAGTAAGGGCCACTGACTGCCACAGTGCAGGTGTGGAGGTCAGAGGACAGCTGGCGCCGCTCCTTCTCCCGCCCACGTGGGTGCTCAGGAGTTACTACCCAGTGGTTCCTCACTGTGGTACCCCTGCCACTTCTACGTTGATTCCCTGACCTTCTGTAAAGACTTTCCCCACTTACTGTTTCTTTTTAATATAGTACGGCTTAGGGCTCTATTTTTTTTTTGATTTAGTGTTTCATTCTTTTTAAATCAGTACATCTTCATTATAGAAAATTTGGGGAAACTTAGAAGTCTGATATGTATTGGTTTGATGTGTATCCTTCTCTTTTTTTCTTTGTTTTTAGTAAGGTTTTAAACAAATTTTATCTAGATCATTTAACTTTATCTTCTTAGAAGTGTGATGAAAGCATATAAACACACCCTCTAACTTAAGCAATTATCAACATAAGGCCAATCTATTTTATATGTCCTCTGACCTCTCACCCTTCTCCACTAAAGCATTTGAAGTGCTTTTCCAGAGTTATTTTCATCTGCAAACATTTCAGTATTCATGTCTAGAAGATAAAGGAGTATTTATAAAAATACAGCCTGTGGTAGTGCACACTTTTAATCCCAGCACTTGAGAGGCAGAAATTCAGCCTAGTCTAAAGAGTTTTAGGTCAGCCAAGGTGACATAATGAGAACTTTTCTCAAAAAACCCAGCAACAACAACAAACCCAGCTACATTTGCAATTTGCTGTTATTGTTATCACCGGCGTACCAGTCATCCAGGATCCAAACAGAGGTCACGCATTAGATTGGGTTGACATCTCTTTTAAGTGTCTTTTAAATTCTCTTACTCCCTCCTTTTTCCAGTGTACTTCATTTGTTAAGTAAAGTTAATTGTGTTTTAGAACATCCTCCCTGGGATCAGTTCAAGGTCAATCTCATGCGTAGTGAACTTAAGGCCATCTTGGGATGTATGAGACCGTGATTCCAAACAAAAAAAGTGATATTTTTTATCACTGTATTTTGCTAATTGTATTTTAATCTTTCTTTGTTCGAGAGTATGCTTTCTGAAAACTGTTAATTGGATTTGAGGCTTGGTCAGATTTACCTCAGGTGTTTTTGTTTCCTTTCAAGTATGTTTCGTAGGTGATATTGTGAATCTCATATTGAATTAAGGTTTGAAGCACAGAACTGTCTGGTTGTCTCTTGATGGTGTTAAGATGAACTGGTACTTGCCGGTGGTGGTGCATGCCTTAAATTCCAGCCCTTGGGAGGCAGAGGCAGTCGGACCTCTGTGAGTTTGAGGCCAGTCTGCTCTATATAGCTGGTTCTAGGACAGCCAGGGCTGTACAGAGAACCCCTGTCTCAGAAAACAAAAAAAATGGAATAGTTCTGATAGTAGTGCTTAAGTAATGGCCTTGGAGTGTATCATCCTCCAGAGGAGTAATTTGCAAACTTGAGACCTCTAAGCTTTTAAAATGTGCTCATTGCTAAAATGGACCCAGTGATGTCTGGTTTTCTTTTTTGTTTGTTTTGTTTTGTTTTCTGGTTATAAGGACTTACATTTTAGGAACTAGCAACATAATTATGTGCTTTGAGTTAGAAGTTATCAATAAAATAAAATTATTGAGGTTAGCATCTGAGAGAACAAGAATTATTAATTAAATGAGAGTCGTCTGGTGAGAAAAATCACTTTGTGAATGAATGTGGATCTTGTGGTAGATTCTGGGCTCCAACTCAGGTCTTCAGGATTGTTGGCAGGCCCCTTTATCCACAGAGCTGTCTCTCCTCTCCCTTCCCCCTTTCTTCCCTTTCCCCTTCCCTTCTTCCTTCCCCCTTTCTCTCCCTCCCCCCCTTCTCTGTCTCTCTCTTCTTTCTTTCTTTGAGGTAGACTTTCTCATTGGGACCCAGAACAGGTTGGCTGGTCAGCAAGCCTCAGAGCTCCTTTTGTCTCTGTCTCTCCATCCTTGAGATAACAAAAGCTTGCCACCATAGCCTGTTTTTACATGGGTACCAGGATCACACTCGGGTCTTTAGGCTTGTGTTGCAAGTACTTTTAACTGCAACCAAATTGAAATTTATTCAATTCCTGGTATAACCCGGATTGTACAAGCTGAAGATTCAAGTAATTCACAGGATAGGTTATTTCATGAACTAGTAACTTTTCTAAATTTTCTATGTTAAGTGTAAGGAAGGCATGTTTTGAAGAGACATCTTTAGCTTTTGTTATGGCAAAAATTAGAAAAACACTTGATTATATAACCTGTAAGATCATTAAGAGGGACTATGATTTTATAAGCAGATACCTTTTGATGTGAGACAAATATTTACATCACCTGTGCTAAAACCAATTTATACCTATACAAGTTGGAGGTGGTCCTCATACAGTGGAAGATACCAGCTATGTTCACTGTGCTTACTGTCCTCACTTACAAACTAGAACCCTGAAGACTGTAAAGATGGTACTTACAAAGCTACTCGCCTTTACTGCATTTCGTAGAGTACTTTATTGGAATATGTCTTGTACCAGATAGACTTGTGGTAGAGCAGGTGTATGTTTTTGATTGCTTCAAGTACAAGTGGAACACAGAAACCTTCCTTGGAATGAACTAGATTTTTAAATCTCATGGGTTGGCAGTGAACAGGGAATGTCTTCTGGGTGGCAGTTTTGGTCACAAGTGTTATTTTCAGGGTTAGAAAGGTTGTGGTTTCCCAGCCAGTGGACTTCTTCTCTGCAGAACAGTTTTTAACTGCTGCTTCTTATTAATGTTGTCCTTTTTTTTTTTCTTTCTTTCTTTCTTTTTTTTTTTGGAAATGGGGAAGTGTTGACTCGGAGACAAAGAGAGGCCAAGAACAAACGTGACGGTTGGAGAGCTACACAGTCTGCCCTGGACACCAGCAAGTAAGTAGACACGCTGCCTTCCTCAGATTCTCTTCTAACACACCATCGCTTGGATCAAGTGAAGAGACTAGTATATGCCCCTCTATTTCTTCGGTTGCCCAGCCTGTCTTGTTGTTTGAAAGCCTGAATTTCTTTTTCTTATGGATAGTTTATTTCAGTGTTCGTCGTCCATCTGTTCCTTTTCAGTACATTAAAAATGGTTCTGCTTCTGCATTGTTCTTCATTTCTGTTTTCTTTGAGCTTGTAAATTGGTGTGGTGCTATGGGGAAGTAGTGAACATTTTGCAGTGTCATGATCTAGAAGGTGAGTTGCAAGAGGTTGAGCAATAAAGTAGACTTCCTTGGGATGTGGGTTGTAGCTTGGCTAAGAGAGCACATTCGGAGGAAGGGGTCGGGTATAGACACTGCCTCCTAAAAACAAGGCCAACAGTGCGGTAGAACAGTGAGTTACGTTCCTACAGTGAGCACATGCTACCCAGATGGTAGCATTCTGCCCTAAGTTAGAGACCCAGTTGATAGAGTTACAGTTATTTGGTGTTGTAGGCAGTATCATTTCTATCTATTGATTTTTCACTTGCTTGAGTACTTACAACGTGAAGCAAATTGGCAATTGAAGTGACCAGACAGTGACACAGTGTTCCAGATATTTCCACTTCACAGATGTCTAGCCAGACCTCCTCAGCACACAACTAATCAGCTTAGTGTATGCACTCTGTCCCCTGTTGATGCTCTTGGTCAATGGGACAGCAGAGATGTACTGTGCAAATGCAACTGAGCTTCTCTTAGCTGTTTGAGGAGCTCAGTGGCAGAACAGGCATTTTTGGGGGGCAGTAAGTTTATTTGTTCACTTTATATCCTGAATGCAGCTCCCTTCCCTCCCTCCACTAAAACTTTATTTTCATTAAAATATAATTACATAATTTCTCCCTCTCTTTCCTTCTTCTAACCTCTCCCATGTCCCCTTTCGTTGCTTCTCAAACTCATGTCCTCTTTTCTCTATTAGTGTGCATGTAAGCATACTAACATAGTACACACACAAATACAACCTGCTGAGTATGTTTGAGTGATACTTTCATGTATATGATGTCTGAGCTGACCACTGGTATTAGACAGCCAGTTAGGGGGCTTACCCTGGGAGAGATTACATCTTCATCTCTCAGTGGTCACTAGTTATTTAGTTCTTTGTCTGGAGGCCTCGGACTCTGAGATTTCCCCTTCCCACTTTAACATGTCTGGTGTCATATTTTTGAGATATCATCAATGTAGCTTCTAGGAGACGTATTGTCAGAGCAAACGTCTTTCCTCTGGCTCTTAAAATCTTTCTGCCCCTCTTCCACTTGAGCCTTAGGTTCAGGAGTTTTATTGTAGATATATTCTTTGGGGCTGGGCTCCCACAACTCAGATCTTCCCGGTATTTTACTAGTTGTGATTTTCTGTAGTGATCTCCATTTTAAACACTAACGTGTACAAACTTTAAGCTTGTACATATTAATGGACACCCATATAATGCTTGACTTGTGTACATTGTGTAATGTTTAACTCATGTTAAACATCTGTTCATCATTTCTTCATGGTAAAAACATTAAAAACCCTTTCTCTAGCATGTTAAAATGTAATCACCCTGCTACATGGTGGTAAACCAGAACTCTCCCTACTCCTATCCAGCTGTAACTGAATAACAACTAACAGCCTTTTCCTGTTCTTCCTTCTCTGTGATCTTTAGTGTAGACCTTCCTCTTGGACTGTGTCCCTCACATTGCTGCAGCTTGTCTTAACATCTCTGTGTTTGTGGACAAGCTTTTAAGGTGCAGACACTTGTTTTCATTTTCATTTCATTTTCATTCAGCATCTACGAAGCTGTGTGTGAGATAGCTGACAGTATCAGCTAGATAATGAGCACCTGATAGCATATGTCAGCCCTCGTTGTAGGGACTCCACCACTTTGGAGTAGTGGAGGGGCAGCATTCGTTTTCTCTCTTCTGCCCCACCCCTTCAAGGACTGGGATTTGAGTCCATACCTTGTCTTACTAAGCAAGCAGTTAACAACCAAACTATACCCTCAGCCTCTTTTCATTTTCTTTCTTTTTTCCAAATAAAGGTAAATTATGTATAACTAAGTCATGTAGCCAACAGTAACAAAGTCAAACTCTGCCTGACTTTAAATGTCCAGGCCTTCCTTAGTGCTGCCATGTCTCATATAGTAGGTTAGTTCAAAGGTTTTAGACTATGAGTTCTAAATCATGACTAGCTTCAAATACACTTTATTACTCAAAATAGGAGCAATTATAGTCAGTGCATTTTTGCTGATGAAAAATGTTTATTCCTATAGTATAAAAATAACACTTCAGGATTTGGGGAACTTTAGAAGATATCTCTATTCTCTTCCCCCTCCCAACTCCCAGATACTCAATGCATTGTGTGTGGAGGTCAGCGGACAACTGGTAGGAGTTGATTCTCTCTTCTGTCATATGAGTTCCAGGGATTGAACTCAGGTCATCAGGCTTTGTGACCTGTACCTTTTACCCACTGAGCCAGCTCACTGACTTCTGTATTTCTGCATATGCTGGTTATAGAGTATTTTCCTTCAAAAAAGGTTGTCATGATGCTTCAGAAATGGTGGGTCATTAGTAGGAGGTCAGATAAATAAATGAAGCAGAATTTCGTAGCCCAGTTTGTTCAGCTTTTGAAGTGTTTGTTGCACAGTGTGTGGTCTGCTGCCGTAAAGGTAAATGTGGGCTCTTTCCGGTAACCAGTGCTGGCTGCAGGCGTCCCAGGTCGCAGCACTGCATCTCATTAATCTGCTGAGCGCGAAATCTCAGACAGAATGATCTCCCTGCATTCAGAAGCTACAGCAGACTACCAAAGAGTCACCATGACCTTGTTTTGCTAAAACTTGGCTTTGGGAAATGCTTTGGAACCATTGGTCTAGCCACTGAGCTGGTCATCACTCATTGTCATGTGCAACTGACTTTGTTACATGTTACGGTCTTCATGTTTTGTTGGGAGCCGAAATGGTTTGCTGGGGGCTGGAGAGATGGATTAGTTAGCTGTTAATAGCACTGTCTGCTCTTCCAGAGGTCCTGAGTTCAATTTCCAGCAACCACTCAGTGGCTCACAACCATCAGGCATATATATGCAGAGTACTGTATAAATAATGAATAAATAAATCGTTTAAAAAAAAAAGAAATGGTTTGTTGTTTTATAGAGTAAGAAGAGTGATGATTCAGAACAACTAACTTTTTTTCCCCCGACTCGGTTATGAGGCACTTATCAAACTTAATTTGGCTTCAAATGCTTCAACAACTTACATGGTTCATATTTAGTTCTTTGGCAACTTGTTGAGTCAAATAAGAGAGTCAGCTTCAGTGAGTGCTCTCTATTGCTTATTGTCAGCTTCCTGCGGCCGGCCACTAACTTCCTTACCTTCAAGGCTCTTGTCTTCTTTCAGACCACTTTAAACCACCATGGCACTACGTACTCCTTATCAGTTTCTGTTGATGTTGCAAAGTGCTGTTTTACCAAATTAAAAAACTGTTTAGGCTAGAGAGATAGCTCAGAGGTTAAGAGCACTGGCTGCTCTTCCAGAGGTCCTGAGTTCAATTCCCAGCAACCACATGGTGGCTCACAACCATCTATAATGAAATCTGGTGCCCTCTTCCGGCGTGCAGGTGTACATGCAAACCCACATTGTATATATAATAAATAAATAAATCTTTTTTAAAAACTGTTCAAATTTGCGTTTTGTTTCATATTTCCATCTTATAAAGTAAATATAAACAGCAAATAATATGTCATTACCAAAAACCATAAAGTGGAAAATGTACATTAAAATGATGTACATAGCACAGCAACATTTAGTTAAAGTATTTGACTATCAAATGACAAATTTCAGCACTGCAGAAAAAATTACTTTTGTCCTAATCTAGTACTAAGAATTAGTAATGCTTTTGCATTAATTGAACACATACTAATTTAACTTCTCTCATCTATTTTTGTTAATTTAATGTCCTTTAAAGAAAATCTTCCACAGAGCTGTTTGTTTTTTGTTTGTTTGTTTGTTTGTTTTTACCATAGTTCCTGAGTAGTAATGGTCAGAAAAGGAAGCTTAAGATAGCGTGTTTCAGCAAGTTTACGTTGAGTCTGCTGTGAGTTTTGATACTAATGAGCTGTAAGCAGCTTGGGGCTGAAGAACTGAGGCGTTATGTGGAAAGGTGCTGGCCACAGAGAAGGTAGTTAACAAGCGTTCTTCACCAGCTCCTATAGCTGTGTTCTCATCGATACTTTCTCCAGATGATTTTGTCATAACAAGATGAAAATAACTACGTTATATGCAAAAGCTTCTGGCAGAGCCACATGTTTTAGTAACTTCGTAGTTCATGTGTCAGGTTATAGAGTTAAGGGAGTTAGCATATAGACAGATTTGATTTACTATCAAACAAATTCATCCACTATGATAAAACTGTCATTATTGATTTAATGCTTTCAGTGCTCCCTTTTCTGTCGAAATTTTAACCTGCCTTTAAAGAAATGATGACACTTAATTTCAGAAGGGTTTGACAGACTGTTTATGTCTGAGGAGCCATCAGAATTGTTTGAGATAGTTAGAAGAGCTGATTTCATTACCTTCCCACTGCTGCAACAGCAGGGTACGAGGAAACAGCGGGGAAACTGCTAATCACTTAGTCCATGGGATTGGCATAGGCTTAGTTTTATTGGTGATCCCACTGAGTGAATCTGCATTGGTTGACAAGTCTCCTCTGCAGACATTTTTGAGATATAAAAAGACAATTTGAAACATTCCAAGAGCCCAGAGGCAAAAACAAATCTTAAAATTGCCTCTCCACCCCCCTCCCCATCTTCTGATTACCCAGGAAGGAAAAGTGTTATCTGTGTAAGTCCCTGGTCCCGCTTGGAGAGTACCAGAGTCATGTAGAGGCCTGTCTCCAGCTTGCAAGGGTGAATGGAGGAGACGGGACTGAAGAAAGTAGGAGGCCAGGAGTGTGTGCAGCTGTGGAGGGCAAGCAGCAGCAGCGACTAAGGAAGTCAAAGGTATGTGTGCCAGGTTTGAGGAAAAGCCACAGTTCCATTCTGGCCTTCCCCTTCCCTCACCCTCCTTCCCTCTTTAATGTTTATCTTGATATAAGGTTTGTGCTTGTAAAAGTGAGGTTTGTGTGTATATGTGTATGCATAGTTGGATTATATGGATGGAGGCCAGAGGTCAGACTTGGGCGTTATTCCTCGGGAGTCATCCACCTATTTTGAGACAGGATCTCTTGCTGGATTTAGGGCTTGTAGATCAAGCATACCATCTGAAACACCTCTACTCAGATCCAAGACTATGGAAGTTATTAATTGCTATGCTTTTTACAGGACATATAAACTTTTTTACTCTGATAGAAACATAATGGTTTAATTATGGAAACCATAACTTTTAATATTATCTTACCATCCAAGTAACCATGCAAATGTCAGGTGCCCAACTTATCTTTTGGGACAAGATCTCTCACCCAACCTGGTGTTCACTGACCAGCTAGACTGGCTGGCCAGTTAGCTCTGGGAATCTGCCTCTATCTATTCCCACCCTCATGCTAGGGCTATAGCTCTTTGGGATCATGCCAGCTTTTTTACGTTTGTCTTGGGATCCAAACTCAGGCCCTGATTTTGCACAGCAGTCATTTTTGTGGCAGCCAGCTCCAAATTAGTATATCTTTTGGTTGTGTTCTGTGAGGATGTTTGATTTTAAAAATTGTTATTTGAGTTGCTGATGTGAGTTATCTAAAAAATTAGTAATAAATTTTGGCTTGGGATTAAGGCAGAAATTTCTAACAATTTCTGAAAGGGCCCTAAACACATACCTGCCAATTTGTAGTATGCATTTATGTGAAGCAGTGTTCTCAGCACTGATGATAATAAAATATCAGCCAACTCTGAGAAGCATTAAAGATGCTCTGCTTCTCGCAGTACCAAATATTCCTCTAGGATTTAATTCTTATGTAAAAATAAACAAGTATGGGCGAGAGGTTTGGCTTAGAAGGTATAATGATTGCCTAGCATGAATGAAGCCCTTGCACTATATAACACTGAGCATGGTGATGCACACTTTCAATTTTAGCACTTGGGAGGTAGAAACAGGAGAGGATCAGAAGCTCAGCATTCCCAGCTATGTACCAAGTTCAAGGCCAAGTTGGGTTACAGGAGACCCTATCTCAAAAACCAAAACAACAAAAACTAAACCATACCACAGACATACCTATTTCATTAGTATGCACATTTGCTTTTATATTTCAAAGACTTGCTCTTCAGTAATTCTCATTATGATTTACTGTCAGTGAATGTTTGACTTCATTGATTTTATATACATATATACCCAAAGTCATGTAAAAGTTCCTCAGATGAGAAGGGTCCCAAGTGGCATAAGAAGCCGTGCTATATTGGCAAACATCTCTGGCTTTCTCTTTAGACTTGTAAAACATTCCTGTGAGCTGGGTGTAATTGAGCATGCCCTAAGGAAGCAGGAGGAGGATCACAAGTGTGAGGCCATCCTAATCTACATAGCACCTCTAAGCCCTGCCTCCTTATTAATGTTGTGTCATATAGAGGTATGCTAGTCACTTAACCATTATCTTATTATTATTTTTTAAAGATTTATTTATTTATTATATATACAATGTTGTGTTTTGCATGTACACCTGTACGCCAAAGAGGGCATCAGATTTCATTATAGATGGTTATGAGCCACCATGTAGTTGCTAGGAATTGAATTCAGGACCTCTGGAAGAGCAGCCAATGCTCTTAACCTCTGTGCCATCTCTCCAGCCCCATTATCTTATTATTGACATTTAGATTTCTTTTTTCCCTAATCTTTCTGTATTTCTAAGACTGTTTAGGCAAGCTCCTGTAATCCCAGCACTCAGGAGGTGTGAGAATTTGAGGACCAGTCCTGGGTATATAGTGAGTTTAGACAAACTTGAGCTAGGTAGTGAGACCCTATCTAAAAAATAAAACTACAGCACTCCAATAAAACAATAAAAACAAACCAGAATGACAACAATTTAAAAATGAGGAAAAATACCATTAATGTCTTTGAACTACCAGTTATTTCCTGAAGTGTAAGTGAACATTTCAACATCTTTTGAAATATTACATCAAATTGCTTTTCAGAAAATGTAGGGAATTCATGTCCCCACTACTAGGAACACTTGTGAAATAAGCTCTGAATTTCTTCCGTGTCTAGGTTTTAGAAACTGCAGGGTGTGGTTCCTGGTCTGTAGAGAAATGGATCTGAAGTGGTTTCTGAACTTTGTGATGAGAGATGAGGAAGAGAAAGTCTTGGTTTAGTGGCCAAGAAGTAACAGTGTGTTCAAGAACTTTTAGTGTACTGAACTTAGACACAGTAGGGCAGGGAAACCAAGCCACCCTCTGCCATGCTGGAAGGAAGTGACATCTGAATCAGATGATATAAAAACTTTATTTCTCTGGGTGTGGTGGTGCTCGTCTGTAATCCTAGCATTCTGGGAGGCAGAGGCAGGGAGATCTCTGAGCTCAAGACCAGCCTGGTCTGCAGAATGAGACCAGGATAGCCAGGGCTACACAGAGAAACCCTGTCTTGAGCCTCCCCCCCCCCCACCAAAAAAAATTATGCATATGGGTGTTTTACACAATGTATGTTTCTCTATACCACATGTGTACTTGATGCCCATGGACTTCAAAAGAGGGCATCAGACCCCCTGAAACTGGAATTTTAGGCAGTTGTGAGCCCTATTGTGGATGATGGGACTTGAACCGGGGTTCTGTGGAAGAGCGACTAGTGCTCTACATTAAGCCACCAGTTTATCTTAACATTGCTACCTGTAGAGTTGCCTTGAAACTGCTTTTCTTCCTTCCTTCCTTCCTTCCTTCCTTCCTTCCTTCCTTCCTTCCTTCCTTCCTTCCTTTCGTCTGTTTTTGTTTTTAAAAATCTCAAATTTAACATATAGAACAAAAACTGTTTTATTTTAGATTTACTTTTATTAATTTTAGCTATGTCTGTATGAGAGCATGTGTATGAGTGCAGTGCCCTAGGAGGCCAGAGGCTAGAGGCCTAAAACCCCTGGAACTGGAATTACAGCCAGTTGTGAGCTGCCATGTGGGTGTTGGAAATTGATCTCCAGTCCTCTGGAAGAGCAGCATGTCCTTAACCACCAAACGATCCCTTAGCCCAGAGGCTCTCCTGCAATGTCATTTGTGGACTGATTTTATTTGATGCTGAAATCATCCTTGAGTTTCTTTCTATTTCTCTTTTTCCTTCATTCTTTCCTTCATTCTTATTGGGTCTCCCTGTGTAGTGTTGACTGGTTTGGATCTTTCTATGTAGCCCAGGTTGCCCTTGAACTTAGAGATGTACCTGCTTCTGCATGCTGAATACTGGGGTTAAAGGTGTGCACCACCACGCCTGGACAGTTGTGTTTCTGATACGCTTTGCTCTTCATTACAGTTTGCTGTTTTTCTCATTTACTCTCATTTGTTACAAAGCAAAAGACTAACCTAGTCTCAGCTCTGTCACACATTTCTCTTCTGGGAAAGATTTGATCTGTCCTAAGTCAGTTTTGTTTTAAATTTTCCCATAATGTAATCCTTCTTGTCCATTTCTCTCTATTGCAGGGAAAAGGCCACAGTCAAGGCCGACTCCTCAGCCTCTTGGAACAGTCTGAGCACAAGACCACAGGTGAGGAGGACTCCAAGACCAGTTTTCAGGGTTTCTGTCTAAGCCTTCCCGTGACTAAAGCAGCTGCTGACCTTCAGCTCACTGTTGGGGACAGAGGAGTGAATTTTTTGGAGTCAGTCAGCCTTTGAGATTTACTCTAGATCATCCCTTCCTAAGGAAGGGTGGGGAGATAGCCTGTCTTTCCTCGTGGTGTGGCCAATGTGATGCTTTGTGAGGCCTAGAGTAAGGGCTCCAGACTGCAGAAAGTAACACTTGCCACAAAGTGGATCTTCAAAGGACAGTCATGGTGATCAGACATGCAGCTGTTGCTGCCTCTTCTGGATGTTTGCAGTCCATTCGTGTGCTACCTGTAGCCTCGTGTCTCAACTTCACTCCTAAGGACTTGTAGGAATTGATTCCTTTTTGCGTCTCTAGCAGTTAGGGAACATTAAAGTAGATTCATCAACAACATAAATAAAAATAACCTTAGAGATTGCAAGGATTGTATCTAGTAACTCCCTGAACATATTCCCTGGCTTTTGATGGGTGTGAGGTGCTGTCCTTACCATTGTTCCTGTTAGTTGCTATTGTTAAGATTTACCAAGTGCAAATGGAATAGTAACTTTTTGTTTATTGTCTAGTTATAATAGTTTATTGCCACCAAGCAAATCTGTTTTGCTTTGTGATGACTGTAAAATGAGCCTGTGTTATATCCTGCTTCTAGACCACCAGGTTGTGACTCTATTGGGTGACAGACTTCTTCCTCTGGCAGTCCTTGCTGCCTGAGTCTAGATCTGAAGTAGATGTAGTCAGAAATGACTCATTCATAAGTGCTCACCTGCAGCTGAGCCTTTTGGATGCTAATGCCCACATTCCACTGGTCTAAGGATTGGAGAAGTGAGCTACTTGAATAGGCCTGATGAGAAGCGCCAGACAGCACTAACACCCGACTGCTAATGTTAGTGCTTTTATCTCTCCAGGCATGGAGAAAACCCCCAACTCTTCAGAAGCAAGACCCGTCAGGTAAGATGAGGTGTGCCCTGAAGTAGAGCCAGCGTGCAACTCTGTGTAGGGTGATAGCTAAACTGCTAAGGTGGAGAGCACTGTGAGCTAATGCGGTTCCCTAACTCCATGATCCTCCTCGAGCCGGCCTGAGCATTGGGTGGGTAGCTGTGTTAATGTTAAAGTAAGCAGAGTCATGTGTTACTTCTTTTCCATTTCCATCCAAACCGGAATTCTAGCAGGTTCTGGGCAGTTTGGGAATTTGGATCTCACTGCACAGTTTCTTCATGTCTCCATGGCTTTAGGTACATGAGTTACTCAGTACACTTATCTGTGGAAGCCGTTGTACTTACACGGCTAGGATATTTGAGAAACTGTTTGTACTAATATAATGTAAAGCCCCCGCTATAGTGCATGATAGCTCATACTTGGTGCTTAGCAGGTTAATATTGAAGCCATGCATGGCGGGACACAGTAATTCCAGTACACATGAGGCAGAGGTGAATTGATCTCTGAGTTCATGGCCAGCTGGGTCTACATAGAGAACTTGGTTTTCAACTAAAGGCTGGGAGCTGGAGAGATGGCTCAGTGGTGAAGAGCACTTGGATGCTCTTCCACAGGACGCAGGCTCAATTCTCAGCATCCCCAGAACACACACAATATATGTATCTCACTTGAGTTTCTCTTTCTGTCTAGGATGCCCTCACCAGAGATGGAAGAGGCCGGCTGCAGCAGAGAGATGCAGAGTCCCCGCTCACAGCTAAGCTTAACTGAGTCTCCCATCAAGTCTTTTGTTCCTGTTTCAGAAGCTACAAATTGTTTAGTGGACTTTAAAGACCAGTTCACTTTCCGGTCGCGGACCAAATCAGGCCGAGGAAGAAGGAGAAAATCTTAAATTTCTTGGGATTGGTGGTTGACCAGAACCATTATTGTTGGGTTGGTCATGTTCATTAATCATAGTGGTCTCTAGTTTGTGGTGAGAGTTTGGCCCTGCTGTTTTCACCACCAGCACCCATTCAGCATCCTGGTTTTCATGTTTTATAAGATCTATTCAGACAACTATGAATAGTATTCTGTTTTACAAAGTCTGTTTGAATTTTCATATACTTAAAATTTAAATATATTTATCTATCTTTGTATAAAATCTTATTTCAATAAATGGAGTTATTGGTTTTTTTTTTTAATTCTGTCATACGATTTGGGGTGGAGATATTTTAATTGAAAGAGGTAGTTTTTCACTTGCAAGCTCTGTGTTCCTGAGTGAATTTCATTCCTAATCTTTGACATACTAAGCCAGGCAGTGGTGGCACATGCTTTTGATCCCAGCACTCTGGAGGTAGAGACAAGTGGATCTCTGAATTGAGGCTGGCCTGGTCTACAGAGTGAGTTCCAGAACGCCAAGGCTACAGAGAGAAACCCTGTCTTGAAAAACCAACCAACCAACCAACCAATCTTTGACATACTATTCATGATCATTTAAATTGCATTGTCCAGTTCTGAACATTGACTGAACCCAGCGTCAATGGATGTGCCAAAGGTACCAAGTCCTACTACTTTCATTCAGTGTAAATTCATCTTGCTGTACTCACCCAGTTAAGGATTTTCAGTGAGGACCTATGACCTTATAGAAATGTGACCTGCCATTCTTCCCCTAGAATTGTAAGGTGAACATCCTTGTATTAGTTTCTATGCATTTTTTTTTTCTTCAAAGTAGATTTGCCAGTGGATGTAGCAGGCAGAGTTATCGGTTTAAACCAGAAGTGTCTCCTTTGATGCCGAGGGCCGTGTGGCGGCAGCAGCTCTGGTGTGGGGGCAGCACTAGAGCAGTGCGCACTCTCTAGTGTTCCCGCTTGCACAGTACGGAGCAGCCACGTGGCTTACCTGTGTTGCCCCGGTGGTCTCCAAGGGAGAGACCCAGGTAGCAGAGTAACTACCCAAGGAAGCAGTCAAGCCACGGTGTGAAAGAGCCAGCTTTGGCCCTAACTGACAGTTTAATGAAAGAGGCCGTAGGAGGTGGGTGTTGACCAGGATAAGTTAATATACAACTCGGATGACTAACTTCTGACTTAACCTGAAGCTGTCTTACCCTTACCTTTTTGTTGTAAAATGAAAATGAGATGTGTATCACGCTGGGACATTGCTAGGCAGCTTGGTTAGAAGACCAGTGTAGTCATTAAGGCACTATGTCATGCCCTTTGTACATAATCTCTCGAGTTAGCGTCAGGAAGGAAAATACCTGTATTTCACCACAGATAATGTCTTGCTTTTGGAGAAGTCAACACTGTGACCAGCAGCATATATAATGTCTCTTATTTTTTGATCAATCACCATAGTCCAGCCAATACTTGTACCATCATTTGAGCCTCATAAAAACTTGTTATAACCAACTTTCAGATAAGGAAACAGATCAAGAGGAACGTGTAAAAAGCATTCTGTCCATGGCAATGAGACCACAGCCATGGAATCTTCATTTCTAAGGAAAATGTTACACTTTTGACATCAATATTGACAATTTGTTTTTCCTTCCAAAGAAATTGTACCAGATACATTCCATCAGTATAACCCTCTCTCATTACGTGGTCATTTGGGAGGTAGATCTATATAAATGGTATGGTTTGTGTTTCTATATATGATGTCAAGGGAAAAAACGGCTTCTAAAAAGGGACTAGCTTAAAACTGAGCAGCTCTGGAGAATGTAGGCCATCAGCTAAGGGTATGGATTAGCTAGACCAGGAATTCTCAGCCTGAATGGGGCTCAAGAAAGGGAAGACTCAAAACTCCTACAGCTGCCTTCAATGGGGGCTGTTGCTTGTCCAGTCTTAGTCTGTCCTTGTCTGACAGGAGGTGCATTAATCAAAGGGTGAAGAGATAAGTGAAGATGATATCGGACCAACCCAGGTGTGTACCCTGCTTCTGACCCAGGTTAGCCTCTCTGCAACTTAGCTTGCTTGTCTGTAAAAAGAAAACAAAGTATTTTAAGAATTGACAAAATGTTTCTAAAGACTCTAAACACATTTGCTACGAATATGTAGTGGCAGCAACTGTTGCTGATGTTACAGCATTTTTGTGTGTTATAGTAGTATTGCAGTGAGGGGTGCAAGGGCCAGAGAGGCGGTCTTCAGCTGCAAGAGGAGGTGTGTGTCTGAGGAGTGAGCACACTGGATAGCTATCCGAGACCCACGAGCCACAGCAAGCCTGGTCTTAAGACAGCTCTCCTGGGGCCTTTGGGCAGTTCTAAAGGATTGCCAGCTCACGGAGAATTTTAAAGCTCCATGAACTTAAACTATTGCTGTAAGCCAGAGGAGGGAGAGACCTCTGTCTAACAACGTGATAGCTGTGAACCTTCTTTTGTCCTTCCCAGAGCCCTTTGTTAGAGCCCGTGCCTGTCCATCTTCCCTGGGCACTTGCCTTCTCTAGGCTGCTCAGAGGGCTTTGTTGCAAATGTTTGTAACTGTGAGGAGGTGCCCCTTGACTTACGTTGGCACAAGCTGGGAGTGCCGAGAACCAGTGCTCTGGTACAGCACCTGGCCAAGGGAAATAGAAGCTGGAGTATGCAAGTAACCCATTTTCTTCAGTCTTGGGTAGAACACCTGATACACACTACCATTTTCTCAGGGATCCTTCCGTGGAGTTAGAACCATCACGCCCATAACCGCCTAAACATGTACTGTCCCGGCTGCTTTCTTACTATCTGGCTTTCGAACCCCTCATAACTAGGTGTGAGCTCAGGCTCACGTACATAAGTGCAGGGCTAGCATGTTCATGAGCCTGAGAGGCCTCTCTACACCCAGCAGTCTGTCTGCTTCATTCTCAGCACCCTAATCCCAGCCCCGTTTGGAACCTTCTGAAATACAGTATGTGGTTAGGTCTAACTGGGGAATCCACCCAGGAAGTAGACATCTTGAGTCTACTTAAAAAGATAAAAACCTGAGGCTGTTGGCACAAACCTTTAATCCCAGCACTGGGGAGGCAGAGGCAGGTGGGTGTCAGAAGTTCAAGGTCAGCCTGATCGCCACAGTTGAGTTCCAGGACATCCACGGCTGAGTAGAGAGAAACCGTCTCAGGAAAGATAAACACTGGGTCACCCGGAAGTAGACCCGGGGAGTCTGGGAGCATTTATCATAAGCGTGAAATAAAGGGGAACTTTCACATCCTGTTCCATATTTACTTCAGCAAAACAACTGAGAGACTAACGCCTGGCTGGCAGGATGCCCAGTCCAGCATCATCTACTTTTTTGTCCTTTACTGCCTGTATGGCTGGTAGGTATCCTATAAACTTACAGCAAGGCTGATCTCTTCCATGTTTACAGGGCTAAAGCAAATCCTGTGGAGAAACTGTGTTTTCCGTTTGTTTTTCCAAGACGGGGTTTCTCTGTGTAGCCTTGGCTGTCCTGGACTCATTTTGTAGACCAGGCTGGTCTAGAACTCATAGAGAACTGCCTGCCTGCCTCTGCCTCCCCAAGTGCCGGGATTCCAGGTGCGCACCACTGCATCTGGCTGAAATTACGTATTTTATACACAGAAATTTCAGGGCCAGAAGATGGCCCAGCAGGTGAAGTGTGTGCTGCGCAAGTATAATGACCTAGGTCCCATCCACAAGGTCCTCCGATCTCTCCGTGTTCACCGTGCCATAGACGAGCCCCTACCCTCAACACATACACAGTCACAAAGAACAACAAAAACCTGCCTGAACCTCAGACTCAGAAAAGTGGGGATGTTTCACAAGTCAGTTGGGAAAATGGGTTGAGTTTGAACACAGGTCTTTTGGATACCAAAGTTTAGGCTGCTGTACTGTCTCTGCTCTCCCATTGAGCCATAAACGGATGGCTTCCCACCCGTGAGGCAAGGCAGCTTTGGCCTTGGGTTGATTTTAGCCAATGGGCATTGGGGAGAGAAGAAGGCAGGAAGTAAATCGATGGAAAGTTGGTGATCACCAGTGGGAAGATGGAGTACCATGGATGCTCCAGAAGAGTGCTGAAAGCATGTGCACCAGAAATAGGGCAGAAGGTACTTGCTGTTTGAAAAGCCCTAGACTGTTGAGGTTGAGGGAGGGCCCTCCAGTTTAGCAAAAATTAACTGATACTTCATCTCAGATCTAGAACATAGTTCCAAGGCTCTGAGGGTGTGTAAGAAATGTGAGCATTCACAGCAGCTGAGGTAAACACAGGGTTTAATGACTACAGTAGGCTGGCTCCCCGCTGGGGCCAGAGTTTTGGGGGTGGGGGGAGGTGTCCCACTGTGGCTGATAACTGCAATTAAAGATGAGGGAGGAGTAGATGAAGGTTGGAGGAGCCACTGGCATCAGTATGTCTTTGTGACACATGACAGGAACAGAGACACAACTGAAGCAGTGCAGCACTTGTGAGAGAACATAAAAGGTGCAGATGCTGATGGGGAGCTGGCTGTGGTACCGAAGGCTGAGAGGAGCAAGCTCAAGTAGGGAGCACCTGGCCTTCCGGTCCAGCAGTGACTGTCTAGTTTTGCCATGCTCGGCTCCCCCATTCTGTAGTCCTTTCTGGATGGCTGCAGACTGCACTAAGAGGTGCTGAGGGAACCTTGTCAGGGTTGGCCAGCGGCCATGGTGTCTGCCAAGTGCTCTGCCTCAGCCACAGACAGGACTGGACCAAACGTTTGCAGACCTCAGATCCAGCAGCTCCTCTTTCACTGGCTTGACTTAGAAGGTCAATGGGAGTAGAGCCAGGCCACCCACTTCCTGGTGAAATGAAAGCGGGACTTTCAGAATCACAAACACGGAGTCATGAAAACAACTTCCGGGAGCACAGGCTCATGCTGACTCTAGAACGGCAGGTGTCCTGAGTCACAGCTCATGTTAAGAATTGCCGCACGGAGAACACCACTCACATAAGCAATTGACAAGCCTGCATGCAGGGTGGGCCACTTGTAAAAAAGAATGGTGACCCACCCCAGACAAAGGCACACAGGCCTTTTCTAGGAAACTAGGAGAATTCTAGCAAGAATTCTAGCAAGAATCTAAAAGCTCATTGGTGGGTGCCGGGAAGTTACAAGGGTCAACGCCTGACTGGCTTGCATCCAGCAGCCCTGTGCCACATTTACAAGATAAGGCTGCCCAGCACAGACGCCCCACCCTGAGATAAGATAGCTTCCCACTCTTTCGGTTATCTCCAGGCTGTGTCTTGAGTGGAGGATTTTATGTCTTGTTCCTGGTGACTTTCTGGTGACTTTCGGGAGGGTCAGGCCTGGTCCTTTCACTTTCAGTTCCAACACTTGCTCAACAGAGTTAAGGGCCTGGAGCCTCAGACTCAGCATGGTGCCGTGTCATAGATGATGGACAGTCTGCGTGCCCCAGCGTTATTCTTGACTTCCCTGTCTTTCACAGCCCATATGTCTGGTTGGTACCCAGTAAACTTCGGTAGGGCTACGCCTGCCATGTTTTAGGTCTAATCACATCAAAGCTGCCTCCGCTCCCCTGTGCCCTGTGGAGGCCTTCACCACGTGGGTAATAGCATGGCTCTAAGTAGCCTTAGGTTTCAGGGTGCCTACCACTTCGCTGCGCTGTAACAGGTCCTTCGAAGCTGCTTGTTAGTCCTCGGGTCTGACTCCTGCTTGCTCTGCATGGGCGTGCTAATTAATCAAAGAAGGTGTGTCTCCCTAACCAGTCTCTTCAAGGCAGAAGCGAAGTCATTGTTCTAAACCTTTCTTCATCTCGTACTCAGAATAGTAAAATCTCTTAGGGTAGTACCTCCCTCTTAAGTAATGACTATGACATCCAGACTGGCCTTTGAGTGATAGGACAGCTTATCCTTGCACGAAAGAGCTGAGGATGATGGGTGGACCCACTCTTTGACCAAGACTGCTAAATATGCATATCTCTTGACTCTGCCCAAATTCTTTTACCCAGAAGAGAATCCTCAAGGTCACTGGACCACTTTAGCTGTCTCTCTTCCTCATGCACACTGCTTTCCATCATTACTCATTTCTTTCATTGCTACTTGGGAGTGGCGGAACACACGCAGAAACTGTGGTTACAGTGAAGATTGTTGCGTGTGCCTAGTTTCCTCTATTAGTGCCCCAAGATTGTATTTCAGGAAAGTAGTCAACAGTGTAGTGACCAGAATATCCACAGAAGCTTAGGAACCTCATCTTCAGAAGGAGAGACCTCTGGACAAAGTGCCCGTTCCAACTTGCCTTACAGACTAAAGGCTGGACCCCCTTGGCCTGGCTGTCACCTCTTCTGCCATGTCCCACCTGTGGGCCTCTTCCTGAGGTCCTGAGAGGCCCTGCATGCGTGGCTCTTGGCTGCATAGGGCCCTCTTTGTAAAAGGACTCTGCCTGCGTGCCCTGCCCACTCTCCGTCCTGCCCACAGTCATGACGGCCCTTCCTCTTCGGTCCCCACAGTGCATCTTGCACACTTACTGCACTTTGACACATGGCCTATTGCAACCGCGTATTTCCAGGCTGGTCTCTACTTCCTCAAGAACTTAGCACTTCAAAACATCGTGCTCACAAAACAAACAGCTCCCAGCATCGCAGACACAATATTGGAATCCTTAGCCCAGTGGGGGCCTTCGACTTCCTGTGATCATCTTGGCTGTTTGTACCATGGTCCTGCCCATTCTGTAGGGAAGTGTCCTTTCCTGGATTAGCATGTCTGTTACGTGGTGGCTGAAGAAGAAGGTGGAGCTTGGAGACGCTATAACAAGTCACCCCTGAGTTTCACTTTTGAGTTCAGTCCAGGATCACGGTGGTCCTCAGGTCTGGGAGAAGAACTGAGACCTGGGGAAGGAAAGAGGTGTCTGTGTTTCCCAGGTGAGCCCCTCCTCAAGCCCTGAATGCCTCCTCTCCCTTGAGGCTGACGGGGGCTGGCAAGGCTGTGTCTCTAGTCCTCACTGGCAATGGTAGTGCCAGTCTTGGGAGGGTCTGCAGTGTTCCATCCAAAAGACACACTCTCTCCATGTCACTGATTCGGCACGGAAAGCCAAAGCCCTAAGCTCAAACATGGGCAGCCTGGGGGTTTCTGGGGATGGAGGGATGAAGACATGGCTCTCACTTCAGGAAGAGATAGGCCTGAATGCATCCATCTAGAGTTTAAATCCTGGGGCTCCTTGTAGGAAGCTTCACAGTCTGGCAGGTGCTGAGGAAGTGTTTAGTGTGTGAGCAGATAAGTGAGTGAATGATCATGCCAGCTGGGCCTTGAACAAACATAATTGTTTCAGTTACCTCATTTTTTCTTTAACAGACTACCAGGACGCTGTCCTCTTCCAGCAGATTTGGAAACTACGTGTTGGTATGTATAACTTAAGGGAGAGTTGTCAGAAATAAGTTTCTTGGTTTATGAAATTGCTGCCTCCTTTTGAGACAGACAGGGTCTCACTGAGACAGGTTGTCCTCAAACTCATGATACTCCTGCCTCAGCCAACCAAGAGCTGGGTTTACAGGCATGAACCTTAGGTCCAAGTTTGCCAACCCTGTCCTGGCATGCAGGTGCAGAGGTGAGTCAGACATGACAAGGCTAAGAGGCTAGCCGTCTGGGAACAGCTTGAGTGAAGACAGAAAAGCAGAAGACAGCAGTCAGCATGGCTGGAGTCTGAGGAGGGAAGAGTAGCGAGAGGAAGCTTGGGTGAGGACATACCAGGGTGTGCAATACCGCAGAGCTCTGACCGGTCAGCGGGAGGCCATGGTAGTATGGACAGGGCAAGAGTCAACCTGAGGAGGCGGACATGACTCGGGACTGTTGGAATAGTCAGTAGTTGTCAGTGCAGGAAAGAGAGAACAGGCAAGAAAGTTCTTTCGTGGAGCCCCAGTTAGTCATAAGCAACTGTTCCTTTCCAAGCAAAACTCTGGATGCTTCTAGTCAAGGTAGAGGAGGTAGTCGGGAGAACAGCGGGAAAGTGAGCGTGCCTTGGCTGAGTTGGAGGGGCCTCTCCCGGGATAGTGAGACCTAACAGTCTGCTGGGATTCACATTTGGCTTAGGTCACTGGCTGGTTTGGGAACCCTGATATGCAAGTTTTAATGGCAAAAAAGATGGTGCATACGAGAAGGCACAGCCGGAAGCTTGGGGCTCTTCCTATGAGTTTAAAGGCAGAGGAGCAGCGTTACTGACGAAGAGCCAGGAAACGCAGCCACACTAGACCGTCTGCGTCTGCGTGTGAGGGCAAGGAAGGAAAGAACGCAGGAGAGGGGCTCTGCAGCCCAGCATCGGACAGGGGAGGAAATGCAGGGCCGAGAGGTGATGCGCTCAGCTTTGTTTTTGCAGTAGAGTGCAGGAGTGTGCCCTGCGGACTGTTGTGCCATCCTGATCGGTCTAATGGATTTTCTTTCTTTTTCATATCCCAAATGGCATCAGAACTATGCTGTAGGTTCCCCTGGGACTAGCTGGAACAGCGGCACAGTCGCAGCAGGAGCTAAGCCGATGCCTGAGGTCCCTACAAACTCTTACAGTGGAACAAGGCTCATCAGCTTGTGGCTTCCTTCATGATTTTCTCACGTGTTTAAGAGAGCACCGAGAGCTGGGCGCGGTGGTGCATGGTTTCAGTTCCAGTGCTCAGGGAGGCAGAGGCAGGTAGATCGCTGCAATTTTGAGGCCAGCCTGGTCTACAAATCGAGTTCAGTCAGGGCCACACAAAGAAACCCTGTCTCAAAAAACCAACACAGAGAGAGAGAGAGAGAGAGAGAGAGAGGTGGACTGAGGAGAGAGAGAAACTGAGTTTCAGTTCAGATTCTGCAAAATAAACGTAAACCTACGCTCTAAGCAATATCTTTAAAAAAATATTTTATTTATACGGTGTTCTGCCTGCAGGCCAGAAGGGGGCACCAGATCTTATTATAGATGGGTGTGAGTCACCATATGGCTGCTGGGAATTGAACTCAGGACCTCTGGAAGAGCAAACAGTGCTCTTAACCTCTGAACCACCTCTCCAGCACACCTTTTTGTTGTTCTATATGGCCTTCTGGCATATTGGCCCCGTCTCACAGATGAGGAAAACGAAGCCTCAAGTTTGGGAGGACTGGTCCTTGGCTCTGAGCACAGGCTCTTCCAGAATGTTTCACTGCCCTTTCCACCCCGAGTTGACGTTTTTGTTGCACACTGAATTTTGCCAAGTATCTCCCTTCACAAACAGCTTTGTGCTGTTTGGTACAACGGCCCTGTGAGGGTGGACACCACCTCCTGCTGCTTCACAGATGATGACACTCAAGCCCAAAGCCACCAGTGACTCGCCCAGGCTCACGCCATTAGTCCCTCCCTTTTCTGAAGCACAGATTGAATTTCTAAAGCACAGACTGCTTTCCACACCTGTCTCAGGTCTTTCTCGGGATGAGCTCTGTGTGCTAAAGCTCGTCCTAAGAGCCAGCCTGCTTGTTGGTCCCTTCTTACTCGCCAGCCTGTCGCCTCTACCGGGTCCTTGGCCTCTCAGTCACAGCAGCATATTTACCCATGAGTTCGCTGTCATCACTAGCGCTGAGTAGACGGTGGGATTTGGTAAAGCACTGAAGCCTCTGAGGGCAGGGCCAGCGTCCGCATGGCAGGCACGAGGAAGCCAAGGGTCTGCGTGAGTGAGCGTTTGGACTCAGGGTCAGCCTTCCAGGGCTCCCTTGTTCCACATACTTCTGTTGCTGAAGGAACTTTACTGATCAGAGGTTTTAAACTCTGCTTACAACTGCCTGGTTGGTTCCTGTTGGAAGGAAAGGAGTTGTGCGTTTGAGCCCTATAAACTAAATGTTCTTGACTCCAGCTGTCCCTTTCTTTCCTGTAGGTAGTCAATATCCATCGTGAAATCATGGACGTCACTGGGCCTTCTGGTTTGCAGCCTGGAGAAAGAGCCTCAAGCTGCCCGCAGGAGGGCATGCCGGGGCCTTCAGACAGCTTAGAACTGGTAAGCTGAACACTGGGTACCAATTCTGTGCTTGTTTAAGGCCATCCAGGGTAGAGATACGGTCTCACTATGTAACCTGGGCTGGCCTGGAACTCATCATGTATCCCAGGCTGTACCCCTTTTAATCCTTCGGTCACCCTAACTATCCAGTTCACAAATCCTGAGACCTGCTCAGAGCTTGCTGTGGTCCTGGGACACACGGAGGACTGAAGTTTTCTCTTGCTGCTTTCGTCTGGTTTTTCCTCATCTTTTGTTCTTTTCAGAGGAGGTGCTAGGGTTGTTTGTTTGTTTGCTTGTTTTTGACCAAGCTTCCCATCGGTATGGGAACATCTTTGTAGTCGGATCAACCTGGTCCACCTGCCACTTCAGAGCGTCTTGAGCTGGGCAGATGGCTTGCGTTCTCCAGGCCGCAGCTTCCTCATTTATAACAGAAACAAACACTCCCAGTGCGCATGGTGCCAGGAAGCATCTGTCCCAGTGTAAGCACATAACGAGATGTCTTGGACTCCAGCTAGGAGCATTTGCTTCCCTAAGGAACCACTTTCCTGGCTCTTCATAAAGAGGGGTTGGGACCGAGTCCTTGCCTCCCTGGCTCACCCTTTAGAGGGACATTACTGTTATTTAAGTACCTAAGTTGCCTCACAGATTTGGGACTAGTTTGGGGCAATGAATCTTCAGAATAGAATTCCTGTGCCCCTGGAGAGGGAGCCTTAGAAAAATCTAAGCTGGGGAAAGATGGAGCTACTGAGCTGTGGCTCAACAAGTGATTGGGGCTTCCTTGGTTGATGAACAAAGGCACCATGCAAGGGAAGTTTCTTCACAGGGCTGAGGTTCTGTGCTCTTGCTATTTCTTGAGCTTCTATATCGTAAGAATGTGAGATGCCACACCCATTGCCTTCTGTTACCCTCTCAGCCTTCCCATCAGACTCTGATCTACCCCCTGGCCAGTGCTCCCCAAAACCCATCCTCCTGCTCTGGAGAGAAGCTTTTTATTCTCTTCCCTCACAGCCTCACATGACTGATTCTCTTCCTTGACTTAGGTCCCCACCTGAGAAGATGTGACTCTGCCCAGTCATACATCTCTAGCCCTGCCTCCCCATTTCCAGTAGGTGCCCTCAGTGCCAGAACCATACACAACCATACAGTGTTGACTCTGTTTCCTCAAGGCACTCAGCAGAGCCCAGCAGGAGCGGGACTGGTTGAGTTGTGTGATGGACTGTGTTTGCAATAGTGCTGGGCATTTGGTAGGCCTTGGCTGATGTGTTCAGAAGAGTGGCCAGCTGAAGGAAAGGCCTGCTTCTGCTCTGTGGTCCCTGTGTATTCCTGAGGCAGGCTTGTCCAGGCTGCAGAGTCTGGGAGAGGGCTGGGAGGCAAGCACTAGAGTGTGAAGTTTGCTCACGTGTTTTCACTCACTGATAGCATATAAACAGACAGCTACAGAACTCTTGCTCTGGAAAATGGGAGAACAATTACAGTGGCAGAAGAGAGGCTTCACCAAACCTTACATTTAAAAGAGTGGGATGGTCAGGGTAGAGGATGTAGCAGCTGAGAAGGGGTCACTAGGACAGGAGGCACAGACAGAGCTGGCTTTGCTTTCTTAGGCCCTTTGGAGGCTGCAGGAGCTTGGGGTAGGCTCTGAACAGCAAGAGGGCCAAGGTGTGAGAAGTGGCAAGGAGGCAGACTGGAAGACCAGTAGGGCTCAGGGAGAACAGAGCAGGGTGCTAGCCAGCCCCCTCCCCGGGAAGCAGAGGGCCTGAGAAGGCAGGAGGTAAGTCAGGGAGAGCAGCCCCAGCTGAAGTTAGAGAGTGGCCCTCCTGAATGCTGGCGTGCTTCTTCCTAGGTGCAGGGGTGCTTGCAGCAATTCGCGGTGACAAGGACACAGCTGCAGCAGATCCAAGCCAGCCTTCTGTGCTCCATGGAGCAGGCACTGAAGGGGCAGGACGGCCCTGCCCCTTCTGTCCGGATGCTGCCCACATACGTGGGGTCCACGCCGCATGGCACTGGTGGGTGGCAGGCTACGAGTGGCAGCCGGGCACGGAGAACGTGCTGGGACCTGTGGGAAGGGGAGCGTCCTTGCCTCAGCCACCCTCTCTAGGCCCCTCCACCTGGACGCCGTAGACTTGGGAGCCTTCCTGGCAGGCAGGCGGCTTTGGTGTTGCCAACTGCATGTCTTCCTATGACCTGTTTGCTCCATAGAGCAGGGGGATTTCCTGGTGCTGGAGCTGGGGGCCACAGGAGCCTCACTACGTGTGCTGTGGGTGACACTGACAGGCACCCAAGAGTATCATGTGGAGCCCAGGAGCCAGGAGTTCGAGATTCCGCAGGAGGTGATGCTGGGTCCCGGCCAGCAGGTGAGCAGTTGGTGTCCTTGGGGCCCTGAGACTCGGCTCAGTGCTCAGAGCTAAGCTCCGCTCACTCTCCTCCCCATAGCTCTTTGACTTCGCTGCCCGCTGCCTGTCTGAATTCCTAGATGCTCACCCTGTGAAGAATCAGGATCTGAAGCTTGGGTTCAATTTCTCTTTTCCTTGTCACCAGACAGGCTTGGACAAGGTGAGGTGGGGCCATACAGGGCCAGCTCGGGCAAAGAGGGCAACACTAACCCTGATTCTCTACCCCCAGAGCACCCTCATTTCCTGGACAAAAGGTTTTAGGTGCAGTGATGTGGAAGGCCAGGACGTGGTCCAGCTGCTGAGAGATGCCATTCAGAGGCAGGGGGTAAGTGAAGGTCAGGGGATGGAGAGCTGCCCCTGCCGGCCTGGGCTTAGCCTTTGTAGGTCTGCCTGTGTTTCCGGAAGGTCCTGCTTCCTTTCCTCTGCACAGCCTTTCTCCAGCCTGACCCCCAGGTTAATGTTGCCTCCATGGCAAGCTAAGGACTACTCAAATAAAATGATCATGCCCTGGGGGAGGCGTTTGGGAGAAGAGCAGGGCATGAAAAAGCCTATGGCCCAGCCCTCAAGATCCTCAAATTCTAGAAGGGAAAGCATTCTAGGATTGCCCCACGTTCAGATGACTCTAGCAGCAGCAGGGGGTGCTGGGGAGAACATGGTGTCCTATGAGGTGAGGTCTGGGAAGAGGTGCCCATGTCAGAATCTCAATGCACTAGGAGGACAGGTCCTTTTGGCCTTCTAACCAGTCATGAAGGTAATGGTTAGAAGGTGTAGTTTGGGGTGCCAGGTCAGGATGTAGGTGAGGCAGGCACAGCCCAGTTTTCAAGGAGGCACTCAGCCGTGGGTTATATTCCTGGCCCCATGTGTAGGAACCTCTGTGACCCTGAGAGCCAGAGCTGGGGGAGGGGCTGGAAGGAGAACCTAGAGCCTAGGGCCTGGGTGTGTGGGGCCAGCAGACAGTTCATGGACTCTGGGTTTCTCCTCCTGGCCACAGCCCTCTGGCTCCCCGGGCTGGCCCTGACTCCCTGTTTTCTCCATCTCTCAGACCTACAGTATTGACGTGCTGGCCATAGTGAATGACACAGTGGGCACCATGATGGGCTGCGAGCTGGGTGCTGGGCCCTGTGAAGTCGGGCTTATTGTGGGTGAGCCAGGGGCGGTTTGCTCTGCAGGGTGGTAGCTGCCTGGGGGCAGGCTCTGACGGGGTCCCTCCTGCCAGACACTGGTACCAATGCCTGCTACATGGAGGAGGCGCGGCACGTGGCCGCCCTGGATGAGGACCGCGGCCGCACCTGTGTGAGCGTCGAGTGGGGCTCCTTCTGTGACGAACAAGCCCTCGGGCCAGCACTGACCACCTTCGACCGTGCCCTGGACCACGAGTCCCTGACTCCTGGTGCTCAGAGGTGGCATCCTCGTGCTTCCCCTGACTCTGGTCTCTGCCCTGTCGTGTCCCTGCTCTTACCGGCTCTTCTCTTGGGCCCTAACCTCCTTCCGTCCCTCCGAGGATCTGCTTGCTGCTGGTGGTCCCAGATCAGGCTTAGAAAGAAAGGCCTTAAAGCACTAGGATCCAAAGTTTTTAATCCTTGATCCTTCAAGTCAGCCCTGGCAGGTTGGGCATTGGGAACAGCTGGTTAAGATGTCTCCTACCTTCCTGGGTCCTGATTTCTCTCTAGGAGGCCCCCAATTGTAACCCAAAGGGTTAGAAAGGATCAACCCGCTTGTCCCCTGGGAGGCCACTTGCTTCTGTAGGCCCCAGTCTGGGACCATGAAGAAAGTGAGTCCTCTTTGAGAGGCCAGGTATAGTAGCGCAAGGTCCTTTTATGTTTGTTTTGAGACAGGGTTTCTCTGTGTAGCCCTGGCTGTAGACCAGGCTGGCCTCGAACTCACAGCGATCTGCCTGCCTCTGCTGGAATTAAAGGCGTGTGCCCTCCCCCACCCCCCAGAGGCAGTGATTCCTCTTTAAGGGCTCAGCGGGCAGGGGCTTAGGAAGGGCTGTGTCCAGTCACTCTTCCGCTGCAGGTTTGAGAAGATGATTGGGGGCCTGTACTTGGGTGAGCTGGTACGGCTGGTACTGGTCTACTTGGCCCAGCATGGGCTCCTCTTTGGTGGCTGCACCTCTCCTGCGTTGCTGAGTCAAGGCAGCATCCTCCTGGAGCATGTGGCTGAGCTGGAGGAGTAAGTCAGGGAGATGTGCAGCATAGACGGGGCAGGTGGAGTCTGCTTGGAAGACCCTGGGGTGCTCTTTCCCCAAGGCAGCTGTGGGCCTTTGAGGATGGGGAGCCCTAGGTTGCCCAAGCCCCAAACCAGCACCCCACGTGCCTTCCCCTCCTCCCTGCAGCCCCACCACTGGGACAGCCCGTGCCCACACAATCCTGCAGGACCTGGGTCTGAGCCCACAGGCCTCAGATGCTCAGCTCGTGCGGCGCGTGTGCGCGGCCGTGTGCGCTCGGGCTGCCCAGCTCTGTGCTGCTGCCCTGGCCGCTGTCCTCTCCCGCCTCCAGCACGGCAGGGAGCAGCAGGCACTGCGAGTGGCTGTGGCCACCGGAGGGCGAGTGCTCGAACGGCAGCCCAGGTATTGTCAAACAGGACCCTAGGTGAGCAGGCAGCAAGAACTGTGTCTTTTAGGCTAGACACCCGGTGGGCATTCTGGTATCATGGGTGCAAGCTGGTGGTTGTGAATGGCAGAGTGAGGGTTGGCCCAGGCTGTGGGAGGCCAGGAGGCATGAAAGGAGAGAAAAATGTTTCTTTTGTGTGTGTGCGCCAGGGAGAGGGGCACTGAGGGCAGCAGATGTATGGTTGGTACCAAGGAGCAAGTTTAGGACTGAATTTATGTCAATAAACTCTGGGCTCCAGCAGGCCACGGAGTTCAGATGCCAGCTGAGTGCACCTGCTGTGTTTGTGTAGGTTCCAGCGCACCCTAAAGGAGACAGTAGCGTTCTTGGCCCCAGAATGTGATGTCTCCTTCATCCCTTCTGTGGATGGTGGTGGCCGGGGCGTGGCAATGGTGACAGCTGTGGCTGCCCGACTGGCTGCCCACAGGCACATCCTGGAGGAGACGCTGGCACCATTTCGGCTGACCTTGGAGCAGCTGGCTGTGGTGCAGGCACAAATGCGGGAAGCCATGGTCAGGGGCCTTCGGGGAGAGGCCTCCTCCCTCCGAATGTTGCCCACTTACGTACGATCCACACCCGATGGCACCGGTGAGCACCTGGCTTGAGTGTGGGCCACATTGTGAACCAGGGCTGGAGCCACCGTTTCCCCCCTTGTACAGAGCGATCGGTGTCTCTGTCCCATAGAGCGAGGTGACTTCCTGGCCTTGGACCTCGGGGGCACCAACTTCCGTGTCCTGTTGGTACGTGTGGCGGAAGGCAGTGTGCAGATCACCAACCAGGTCTACTCTATCCCCGAGTGTGTGGCCCAGGGCTCTGGACAGCAGGTACTCACAGTCGGGCCCTGATGTCGGGGGGTGGGCTGGGGGAGTCCGCCCCTGACACGGCCTGTTCTGCAGCTCTTTGATCATATCGTGGACTGCATCGTGGACTTCCAGCAGAGGCAGGGCTTGAGCGGACAGAGCCTGCCTCTGGGTTTCACCTTCTCTTTTCCATGCAAGCAGCTTGGCCTGGATCAGGTAAAGGAATTAAGCCCAAGAAGTGATTCCCATGGGGGCTCCGGTCCACGTATCCTTAAAGAGTGGGCAGGAGGTCAAGGGAAAGTCTGCATAAGGAGGAGAACAGCATTGTTGAGCTGCCTGTATGCAATCCTGGCTTTCCCCCAAAGATGGTGTGCCCATGGTTAGGGCAGGAGGCATCTGAGAACAGCACTGGCTGAAGCTGTGCGGACCGGAAGATGCATTGCCTAGTCCAGCCATGGCGTTCCGCCACGCCTCTGACGGTCCACCTTTCGGGAGCAGCATTTGTTCTTTTCTCCGGAAGAGGCTTAGGTCACACACTTCTTTGCTTGTCTCCTTCTTAGCTTGACACGGTGCTGTGTGCCTAATCTCGGTGGCAGACTGAGAATCATAGTATCATAGTTCAAACCTACTCGAGACACACCCTGTCCTTCAACATGCATCGCAGACGTGTCAGTGCCTGCCTCTGAAATCTGGCACAGGAGCAGCTAGTCTTGGGCCTCTTATCCAGGCTTCCAGGAAACTCAACACCTCTGGTTTCTGTTTGGAAGCTGAGGAGCCTGCTGCCCTTGAAGGCCTCTGCTATATCCTTAGCTCTTATGGCCACCATGATATGTATCTACCCATCAGCCTGAGTTGTTTTCACACGTGCTCCTGTTCTGACTTCTATGGCCCACAGTGTTTCCTCTGTTGCCGTTTGCACCGTGGTCTGGCTGGAGCGGCTGCCTGTCGTCTCTCCTCTAGAGTGCTTGGCTCTAGGCTGAGCTCACTTCAGTCAGCTCTTCTCCACAAGATGTGAGAAGTGTGTCTCAGTGTACAAACCTGGGCATGAAAAAAATGGGGCCTAATTGACTTTTGTTTTTGGTAGCTGAATATAACTAGTGCGCTGAGCCCGTCTTCTCGCTTGGGGATAGAGTTCAGTAGTTGCCTGCTTGTATGTGGGAGGCCCTGAACAGTGCCAATCTCCTTTCCCAGCTGTGATTAACTTCCTTTCCCTGAGGAATACGCAGAGAGAAAGCACAGCCCTTTCCCACATGCAGGTCTGCCCCTCCTTCTCAAGTTCAGTTGCTCACAATTAAGGTGCCTCTGTCTCACCCAGCCCCTCCTGCTCAGGTGTCGGGCATCTCCACTCGCCTTTCACCTTCCTAGAACATGGCACACTGAATCGGTTGTGCCTGACTGAGAATCTCTTTCTTCGAAGTGACTCTTGGACTTTTTCTTTGAAAGGGTAGAACTTGCTGACATTTGAGCTTCAAGTTTCTTCCTCCTCTCTCCTGCATGCAGCAATCATTCTACCAGCTATGTTCACCCCTAGCCCAATTACAAAGGGCCATTCCTTCTGGGCAAACATCTTAAAACAGCCAACCCTCAGACCACCTGAGCATTCTGGGACTAATAATGGAAGACAGAGGTCAAGTCGTTATTAATAGTTTTCTTCACACTGAAAGCTTCCTAGGGAGTTGAGGGTGTGGGTAGAGAGCAAGCCCTCGACCACAGGGCAGAGTGGGCAAGGGCTCGCGCCTGGGAAGGGCAGGGGCAGGGTACCTCCGGTGGCGTGCGGGATTTGGGAGGCAAAATGACATGTGGCTGCCTGATTCCATCCCAGGGTATCCTTCTGAACTGGACTAAGGGCTTCAAGGCGTCAGGCTGTGAGGGCCAGGATGTGGTGCATCTATTACGGGAAGCCATTAGGCGCAGACAGGTAGGACCCTACCTCCAGTGGTGCTTCTGGGGCTGTGATAGACCTGGAGGGGAGCAAAAAGGGCCCTCTACAATAGAGGCCTCTGAGTCCAGTGCTGGTTGCCATGACAACTATGTTGCCCAGCAACTAGCAGCATCCTTTTGTATGCAGGCTATGGAGTTGAATGTGGTTGCCATTGTCAATGACACAGTGGGGACCATGATGTCCTGTGGCTATGATGATCCCCGTTGTGAGATGGGCCTCATTGTTGGTAAGGAAAGGTCTTGCCCCTTGTGCTCCTAGTGCCTGACAACTTATTGCCTTCTGCTGATTCCTTAGGTTGGGCATTTCTCTGACCTTGGGAATATGGGATTATTTCTGTATGAGCCAACAGAGTTCTGGGCCATTGCACGGAGCTAGGAGTCTGGAAAGAGGACATTTACTTCAATTCAGCTATTGATTTAGTCACTGAATCTTCCTGAGCCTCAGTTTACCCATTTGGTAAATGAATCTCTACTAGGCTAGCTGTGCTGCTCCACCTGTATAACCTCGGGCAGCTCGAGTCCATTTCTTCACCTTAAGGTATAGATATGGCAATACCTATATCAAAAGTTAAGAGTGAAATGAGAAGGGGCCAGGCACAGAGCAGTGCTTGGTCATGGTGCATACTCGGTGTTTGAGACTGGGCAGGGGTGGCAGGTCAGCGACGTGTGGCTCTTCAGCTGCCGGGGTCACTGGCAAGCTCCACCCTGGGGCTGCCTGGCATCTGCAGAAAGGGGCCGGAAGACACAGAAAGCAAAAGGAACTCTGTCCTCTCAGAGCCAAGCATCCGGAGGGGATTAGGCCCAGAACAGCACTTTCAAGTGACTCAGCCCCCCCCCCCCCACACACACACGGGCTAGCTACGATCAGAGAGGAAGCAGTCCTGCGCCAGTGGGGAAGCAGCTGTAAGGGAGGCCTCACGGTGGCCTCTCATGGACAGCAGACTTCTGAACACAGGCTCTGATGCGGGGAGGTGCTCAGGAGACGTGAAACCTATTAGAGAAATCCCAGGTGGGGCTATCAGGAGGCTCACTACTCGGAGCCGGAAGCTTGTGGAGAAGGGGGGAGTGCTTTCTCTCGCTCTTTCACACCTTTTACTTTTGCGAGTAGCTTTTCTGAGTCTTGTAGGCAAAAGAGGCTCCTGTGGCCCAGTGCTCCCACAGCACCCTGCTCTTTGTGTCTGTTAGGATCCATGGACGCTCTATCGGGGAAAGCCATTCGCTGCCTAACTTTTGGCCAGAAGGTGGGGGTGCTCTGTGCCCAGCTCCTGGCCCATGCTAGTTAATTTGATTAAAAGCATACTCAGCCATCAGGAAACTTGAGGGTCCTGCCAGCATGAGAGTGGAGCCAACCCTACCTCCCCAGGGAGGACATGGCTGATGGCTGCCCAGGGAGGACATGGCTGATGGCAGCATAGGAGCCCTTTTGGATAGCTCGGAGATGCATTAACATCGGTACTGTCAGGCAGAACAGAGGGGGTCCTGAGGCCTTGGTACTAACAAGGACTACACCAGAATGTCAGAAAGGGACCGGGCCCAGGTTCTGAATGTGGGAGGACAAGGGAAGGAGACAGAATGCTGTTGTTTGGGTGGGAGTGACCCGCACGGGCTTTGTTGCGTCAGTAAGCAGCTCGCACCCCTCGGCCCTGGCCGGACTACAGGAACCGGCACCAACGCCTGCTATATGGAGGAGCTCCAGAATGTGGCCAGCGTGGCCGGGCACTCGGGCCTCATGTGCATCAACATGGAGTGGGGCGCCTTTGGGGACCACGGCTCACTGGGTACGCTCAGCACCTGCTTTGATGCTCGTGTGGACCAGGCATCCATCAATCCAGGCAAACAGAGGCACGGCTTCGGCCCAGGCCGTGTGGTGGGCGGCAGGCTGCCCCGGGGAGCACGGCAGAGGGGGCCCTCTGCTTCGTGGGTGAGCGTGCGCCTCCACACAGGTTTGAGAAGATGATCAGTGGCATGTACCTAGGGGAAATCGTTCGCCACATCCTCCTGCACCTGACCAGCCTCGGCGTTCTCTTCCGGGGCCGGAAGAGTCGCTGCCTCCAGACCAGGGGCATCTTCAAGACCAAGTTCCTCTCTGAGATTGAAAGGTGCTGGCACTGCCAGGCCATCTGTTGTTCTGGGGAAGGCCCGGTGGGGCCTGTAGTAGAGGGAAGCCCTCTGGAGGACGGAGTGGGAGGAACCTTGGGGGTCGGGGGGGGGGGGGCTAATTTTTGTTTCTGTCCCTCCCTGGCCCCAGCGACAGCCTGGCCCTGCGTCAGGTCCGAGCCATCCTAGAGGACCTGGGGCTGACTCTGACCTCCGATGACGCGCTGATGGTCCTCGAGGTGTGCCAGGTTGTCTCTCGGAGGGCCGCCCAGCTCTGCGGGGCGGGCGTGGCTGCTGTGGTGGAAAAGATTCGGGAGAATCGTGGCCTGCAGGAGCTGACAGTGTCTGTGGGAGTGGATGGGACGCTCTACAAGCTACACCCCCAGTGAGTCTGGGTAGCGGGGTCAGGGTGGGAGGCGTGGTCAGGTGGGCTGGGCTAGCCTGGGCTCACCTCGGCCCCTTCCCCTCACAGCTTCTCGAGGCTGGTGTCAGCTACAGTTGAGAAGCTAGCCCCTCACTGTACCGTCACCTTTCTGCAATCCGAGGATGGGTCCGGCAAAGGTGCGGCTCTGGTCACCGCTGTTGCCTGTCGCCTGACCCCGATGGCCGTGTCTGAAGGAATCTCCAAGAGTGGTGGGCTCTCCCTGGCCTGAGGCCTCAGGCAGGCCCAGCCACCCACAGCTCCCAAAGAAACCCGTGTGTGGCCCCCTACAACCATGTGCCACACCCAATGGCTTTCTGAGAGAACCAACACTCTGGTTAGCAATATATATATATAATTTATTTACATTCACGTCCGCTAAAATCCCTACATGCCCCGGCAGCCGGGCAAGGCTGTGTACATAAGGCCAAGTGTAAGTGCATGAAAGCACTTAAGACAGAGTCAGGATACAAGCTTCACACAGCAGGCCCCGCTCGGGGGCACTGGCCAGCCCCGGAACGGGCACGCCACGGCACACACTTGCCACTGTACAGCCCGGGGCTCCCATTGCATATTCACACGCCCCGCTGGGCAGGGCACGAGGCCGGGGGCAGGGAAAGGGTCCGGAGGAGCCGTCGGGGTCCCTGGGTGGGTGGGAGGAGGGCAGATGTGTACCGACACCGGGTGTGAGAGACGTGAGCAGCCTCCAGGTGCGCAGCATGAGATGTGTGTGGTGGTGGAGTGTCCTGCATGACCCAGGAGAGGGGTGCGTGTGAGGTGAGCACACGAGGCACGCGTGGCCACGTGCCCGTGTGGTGTGACCGTGTGCCTGAATCCAAGGGCCAGCCCCTGTCCAGCTGGGGCCCTCAGTCCCCCAGGCTCGAAGCCAGGCCCCTCAAATATACCCCTACCCAGCAGGCACAGAAATGTTTGCATAAGGCCCGCCTCAGGCAGGAGCTCCGGGGCCGAGGCCCGAGCCCAGCACGTGTGTGCGTGCTGTGTGTATGCGGGGCCCCGGCAAGGGACGGGAGGAGAGGTAGCATCACACGCGCGCGCGCACACAGACACACACACACACGCACACACACACACACACAGATGGGCCGGGCTCGGCCCAGGCTCCAGGCACTGTCCACTCTGGGCAGAGTGAGAAGCAGTGGCTATACCAACCCGGCCAGGCAGGCCATGGAGGGATGGAGTCTGGGCAGGGTCTGAAGGACCAGCGGCAAGGGACAACTTCAGCCAGGGGGGGCCTGTCCAAGCAGCTCTCCCCGGGTGTGGGGGTAGGGCCCCTGTCAAGCATTTGTCTGTCCCTGGCAGGTGCCAAAGCTGGTGAGAGTGTAGGCATTACCGGCCTGGCTGGTCTCAGCACTCGGCCTCCGACACCGTGAAGAGGCCAGCGTCTGGCTGGCCCAGTCCGGCCACAGCCGCTGCCAGCTGGCCGAGGTTGCCGTTGGGGAAGTGCCGGGCCTCCCAGAGGTTGAGGATCATGGCTGTGGGGCTGGGCTTGGAGGCAAAGAAGCTAAGATGGCTGCAGAGAAGAGGCGGCGTCTGTCAGGAGCTCAGCCCCACTCCGGCTGCCCGGCCATGTCCCAGGCATGACCAAAGCGAGTCACCCCCAGACACACCGCTAGCGCTGTGGCACAGAGCCCGTACGCCTCCCGGCTGCCCCCTTCTGCCCATCCACCCACCTGTCCAGGTGAAGTTTCTGGGCCAGAGTCCGCCAGTCGGCACCCCGGCTGCAGGGCGGGTCCAGGCTGGTAATGATCTTTTGCCGAATGAGGAAGGGGATCTTGAAGGCACTGGGGCCCACCAGGGCTGGGACCCCCCCTTCACTCTCCAGAGCCAGCAGTTCAGCAAACCTCGTGTCCTGGGTTATGGGAAGAACGCAACAGGTGCCAGTTAGAGCCCGGGCTGCTGCTGCCTCTGCCAAGGGCGTTTCCAGACAACAGGGGCGGCAGGGCACTGCGCCGCCTCTCCCTCGTGCACAGGGCCCTACTGTTTGGGTCTCAGAGGCATGGTCACCTACACCCGGTCAGTGTTAGAGAAAGCCGCCCTGCCCAGCTCGGCTGCTGACCATGTGCGCCCACTGCTCCCACCTCACCCGAGCCTCCCCTCCGTTCCCGATGCCCAAAATGCCCCTTCCCACACACTGTGAAACTCCTGCTCTTCACCCTCCAGGGCCTCAGGCCAAGGCTGCCTCCTCCTGCGCCCTTACCCTGCGGCCCAGAGCTCATTTGCACCTTCACCTCTGTCCCCAGAAAAGTGGGAGCGGCTGGGAGGAGTGTGAGGAAGGGGTGGCAGGCGGGCAGCGAGGCCCAGACGGGGCACGCTGGGATGCTGGTGGCGGAGTGCGTGACCTTTCCACGCACCTTGGTGATGTTGAGGTTGATGCTGAAGCTTTGCCCGTCGCCCTCCACCTGCCACGCCCACACCTTGCAGGCCAGGTCGCTGGTGCTGGCATTGACCCGCTCCAGGGTGAAGCTGCAGCGCAGGTGCCGCTGCGGGCCGTTCCAGATGTGATGAAAGGGGATCTCCTGTGCGGACGGCAAGGAGGTGTCAGGCGGGCCCGGCCGCCCCGAGCCCGGCCGCGGGCTGGGCCTCACCTGGTAGCTGACGAGGAGCTTGCTCTTCCACAGGGAGCTGGGAACATCGTGGATGGAGAGACGCAGGTTGTGGTAGCTGTCTTTGAAGTGCAGGACGCGAGGCTCCTGGATCAGCTGCCCGCCCATCTGCTTCTCCAGCTGCACCACCTCCTGCGGCCCGGGGTGGTCAGCGCGGCCCGCGGGCGGGCATCCCCCTCCCCGCACCCCCGGACGAGGTGGCCCGCCAACCTTGAGCGCGTCGTGGGTGTCGTGCAGGCAGTACACGCGGATGTTGTACTCCAGGGATGTGCAGGCCACAGGCGCGAACAGCAGGAGCCTGAGGCGCTTGGTGGCGGCCACGCTGAGAGCCTCTCCCACCAGGGCGAAGCGGCCCAGCTGCTCCGTGAAGACGTAGCAGGCCCCGGCCTCCAGCTGGCAGTAGTAGAGGTGGGAGGGCGACTCCTCGCCGAGGTGCAGCACGTCCTGTGGGCACGCGCTAACGGGTCAGTTCCTAACCAACCGTGGGCTCCTCCGAGCCTCGGGTCACCCTCAGCAACAAGAGGTGGCCAGAGCTCGGGGACACTCAGGGCCACATGCCTGCCACAGGCCAAGGCCAGAGGAACGGAGGCCGGCCCCTGCTTACCTCCCAGCTGCCCTCGCAGGACTGCTTTTTGAGGCGCAGGCTCCAGCTGTCTGGGCCGGGCTCCCCGCAATGGTCCATGGCGAGGATGACTGGCCGGGTGAGCAGGACGCCTGGGGGCCCGCAGCTAACGATGGGACTCAGCAGGGTCTGGCAGCCGGCTAGGGGCAACCTCAAGTGGGGACATACGGGTGGGGAGGGAGAGGAGTCAGTGGCCAGGCCTGCAGGCTGGGGGCTCGGGGCTGGGGCAGGCACTTGGGGACAGGAGACGCCAGGCAGGGTGAGCCTCGGTGTGCCCACGCCCTGTCCCCCCTCAGCCAGGCAGGCACAGCAGTGCTGGGCGGGGGTGCCCTCCCCGCCCCCAGCCCAGCCAGGCCCGGCTCACACCTCACGTCTTCTGGCTTGTGCAGTGTGAGGTAGATCTCGTAGATCTTCCCTCGGGGGATGGCATCTGGGGGGATGAGGAGGCTGATTCCTGTAACGGCAGAGGGGTCAGAGCCATTACTATACACCCACGCCCCGTGAGCTAGCCAGACCCTGGTGTCCCCTTCAGCCAACTTCTTCTTGGGACGGAAGTTCTTCAAGGACTGCCATGCTGTCCCACCACCCACACAGGCACGACTCTGAGTCAGGGAGACCCAGGAACATCTGAGGTAACCCAGCGAGGAACAGGAAGAAGGCGTAACTAGGACAGAAGATGCCACGCAGGTGCTTCCCACGCCCTGTGAGGTTATTCGGGACTAGGGCATCTTCTGCCTCAGGCCTGCGCTTGAGGCCCTTCACCGTCATCCTGAGCACCTCCACCCCGCCCGTGCTACCTCAGCATCCTGCCACAGCGGTCCTCCGGCCCTCCACCATTAGTCCTGTCCCCTAAGAAACGGTCACTGCCTGCCCCTGACTCCAGTGTGACAGGTCTCTAACGGCCCTGGAGGGCAGGATCTGGGGCCCCGATGCCCTCCCCTTTTTCCGATGTGCCACAGCCCCAGAGTTTTCAGGTGCAGTGTCAGAGTGGGAGGAGAGAGGGGAGTTTAGTGGTGGATGCAGTGAGGACAGGGCTGAGGAATCACAGCGTGAGGCCCTGCCTCAGGGACTGGAAGCCCCGTATGAGGAGAGGCCTCTCGGCTCAGACAGGAAAAGGGGAGGCGTTCCGTGACTTTATCCCTAAAGCAGACGGATGTCCGGGGGGTGCTGGCCTGGACTGTCGGGCCACCCAAGTGCCGTGCGAGGGGAGCACAGCACACGAACAGTGATGGTTCCGGTACACTGGAGTAGGTTGGTGCAGGAGCGCCCTGCCAGGCCCGCCTGTCTGTGCCAGTAAGTGATGTGTGACTGACAGGGAGCCGAAGCCACAAGGGGGATCCAGTGACCACGTTCCTGCAGCTGTGGCTTCCTTCACTGGCATGTGCTTCTAGAACCTGAGGCCACTGGTGTTGGTGACAGTCACGTGCACCCTGGCATGAATGCTGGCTGCAGGGGAGTATTCAAAATTGAACGCTCATGCTGGGCACTCAGAAAGCTGAGAGGAAAAGTGGTGCTAGCTCTGGGTACAGCGAGGAGAGAGCCAGCAGACAACAGAGAGGGACACAGGGAGGGCGGGCAGCTGCCCACACTGCAGGGACCACTGGGCACATGCCTGTCTGCCTGTCTGTCACAGCCAACCGGTGCCACCTCCCCTTCCTGTCCCCTGAGGATTCATCGTGCCCTGTCCTGAGGGGTGTGTGGGCGGAGACAGCAACCACAGATGAGCCGGCAGGAAAGGCAGAGGGGCCCTTATGAGCAAGGGACGGCATCGTGTGTTCAGGTGCCAAGGGTCTGTGGGGCGGACACACACAGCAGTGCCTCTCACAGGGCATGAGCACACTGCAGCTAGCCGGCGGGGGGTGGGGGACTTCTCACGTGGACTCTGTTGGGAGCAACAGGGGACCCTAGAAGGCTCGGAGTAGGAGAGCGAGTAGTCAACTCTGTTCATCCTGTGAGTGTTCAGGGGATGAGGCAAGGTGTGATAACCTGGGTGT